AAGTAATCATCATTTTTAAGCAAAATTGACGACAAGAAAAATCTCATAATACATGGAAAAGACGTAAAAATTCTTTTTTTTTTTCTTTTAAAAAAGGAATGTATGAGGGAAAAACAGCTGATAAACTCTCCTTTAGATGAAATTTCCAGATAATTGTTCAATTAAACAAATAAGAAACAAAGAGTTGGACTAATTACTTGATAATAATTAGAATTTTTCAATGTTTTAACTAGCATTTAGCTAATAAAAAGTTGGGAAGAATGATTAATCAAAAAAATAAGTACAAGTCTAATATTTAGCTATTTTTGAGTTTGAAAAAAAGGCAACGGTTGCATTGATAATTAGTCTAGTAAAAAGTACTGGTATGTAATTGATTAATTAATCAAAAGTTAATTAATAATTAATTAATCAAAAGCGGAACTTTAGAACTTATATGTTTAACGCTAATTTCAAATATAAAAATATAGAACTTTACCAAATTTAACAAATCAGGAATACACTTTTTTTCTCCTCCTTCTACTAAAATTTTCTTTAATGATATTTATTTTGATGTCAATAAATAGTAGAAAGAGGTAAAAAGCGATAATTTTTTCTTTAAAAATAAACCGGAAACTAATTTATTTCTTTTTTGATAATAATGCTTCTAATGGTTTTTTCCCGATCCAAACATATTTCAAGGCAATTCGATATTTCCAATATTTAATTTGGTTCTTAAAAATCATCACTATAAAATAAATAACAAGAAAAGTGAGAATTTTGCTTCGAAAAAATATTAATTAATTTATTTTCCCGTAATTAAATATTTCTATCCGTTTAAAAAATTTGAAATGATTTATTCAAATTACCTATAAGAAATTATACTGGAAGAAAAAAAAACACATTTATTAGAAAAAAATTTTTTTTTTCAGTTTATCTAGATCAAAATAACTGGGAGTAATATTTGGTAAATATTATTGGATAACTGCTTTTGCATTGATTGCCTCAACAATATTTGGTTTATAATTCGTACTTCTCGATAGCCAATGTGATAATAAAATACTTATTTGTTTTATTAATTCTTTTTTTTTTCATTTTCATCTTCAATTTACATACCAAAATGCATTGGTTGAGAAAAAAAAAAATTACACTAACGTAGAAGGAAAAAGGAATCAAAAAATAAATAAAAATTAGAATATTAATATTATTACTAATAATGATAATAATCATAATGGTAGTAATAATAATCATAATTAGTAATAAAGTACAATAATTAGTAATAATTAGTAACAAAGTAAGAATAATGAGAATAATAATAATCGTAACATTAATTATAAGAGTGATAATAATCGTTAACATAATGATATCAATGATAGCATATTTAATAATAAGAACAAAAGTGATAATAGTTCGTCGAAAAAAAGTTATTGGATTAAAAAAGAATTCTGTAAAAAAAGATTTTCCCTCAATGGCAATTTCAATGATCAAAAATCGCAGAATATGTTCGAGAAATTCTTTCTGGATAGTAGTCGAGCAAAATTTTTAATATTCCAAAACTGATCGCTTCATTTATCATCAAGTAAGAACAAAGTTCTAAATAAGAGTAAAGAAGTGAATGCAAAAAAAAAGAAGGGGAAAAAAGTGTTTGACTTGTGATGGAAGTGAAATTGCATGCATGAAGAAGAATTTTGATTAATTATTCTTGTTCAAATTCCAATATTATACGCTTACAATTGCTTCTTAAATTTTAGAACAAAAAAAGAAAAATGGATGAAAGAAATGACAGAAAGTTTTCGATTTAAATGTAAAATATAATTAATTGACAGCTTAATCGTTCCGTTTCATTTCATTTCCGGTTTTCATTAAAAACTTGTTATTATTATTATTGTTATTATTGTTTATTTTGATTTGGAATGATTTGAATATTTATCAAAAAAGGAAACATCTTGATAAATATAAAATTTCTTGAATTCTTTAATATTTCCTTTCAGGAATAAACAAATGAGTGGATAGGAAAATAATAATCAAATAATTAAATATGTAAAAGAAAATATATATAAAAGAAAATAATTACACATATAAAAGAAAATGTAATTATTTTACCGTTTAAACGAAAAGCATTTCTTTGCAGATTATATTATATGAAAATAATTTTGACAAATTGAATATCGATAGATCAAATCAATAACTTATGTTTCAACAAGTTATCCATTTTACAATTAACCGGCTGTTTTACATTTTTATGCGCAAGCAAAAAAAATTTTATTTATAAGAAATTATGGCAATTATGTGACAATATTCAAAATATCGCAACATTTATGGACTTATTCTTGTAATATAAATATATTAAATTGATTAAAAATTGAATAAAATATTAGAAGAAATATTTAAAATAATCATATAAACCAAGAATGTTTTAAAAGTTATTGCAAATCTTAACAGTAAGTTATTGTCTTTTTTTGACATAAAATATTAGTTGTTTAGTTCTAAAAAAATTAAAAAATTATGCAAAAACTTTCAGTATGTTTTATTCGAATAAAAAATAAATTTTCCCATCAGTTTGATATTTAGTAACATAAATATATAATGCTTTCATTGACACTTTGTTGTCCAACGAAATGAAAAAGCGATAGTAGTTTGATAAGAAATTAAATTTACGAAATGATTATCTGTTACTTCCAATTGGAATTTATCGTTTAATCAGCCTATATCTACACATCTATATACTGAGAAAGTCAACGATTAACTTGATACCTTAAGAGTTAACGAAAAAAAAGCACATTCAAAACATTATTACGCCTAACATATAACATATATTTAGAGTATGATTCTTATCACTTATCTATTTATCAGCGAATGTTTCGCTTGACATTTTTCAGATTGAAAAAAAATAATATTTAGATGTCAAAAAATTAAATTTCTACGCTTGAAATCATGATAAAATCTTTTATACTTGAAACATTTTCCCTTCACTTCATCCCTCACTAGGAATTAAACGAATATGTAAATTTCGATCTAATTAAAATGAATGTGGAAAAGGAAATTAATGGAAAAGTTAGTTTGGGTAATATCATTTTACCGAACCATTCATTTATTTCATCAAATGCAAAATGGTAATGAAGAAAATCTCACATTAAATGATGACATTCATTGCACATTTACTACTTTAATTAGATCTACCGTTCCTTAATTATTTTTTTCACTCGAAATCATTCAAATGAATTGTTTAATGTGAATTGTACAGGAAATTAACATAAATTATCATTGATTGGTGGATGGCATTGATGAATATTTTTTTCATCTCACATATTCATATTATCTATTTCCCTTTTTATACATACATTTTTTTTTATGAAAATCCAATTCATTAATTAAAATTAAATTTGCGTATTTCATTCGTCATAATGATTTGCATAGAAGATATTTATATAATTGTAAATTTAATGAATGCAAATGAAATTTAAAGTCCTAAAACTGATTAATTTCAAGTACGCTGCAATTTCAGGTCTATATTAGATCAATATGCATTGAACAAAATGCAATTCTGAAAGTTTGTCAAACTCCCGCAGACGTTATTTGTCACTTATAGACGTGCGACAAAAAATACATTCCCGCAAAAGAAAGAATCATACAGACTACGAAATTCTACAGAATGCTCATATCTGTTTTAAATAACAGTAGAAGAATATCTGATATTATCTAAAAAGTTTTGATCAATTATTCAAAAAAAAAAAAATTGGAATTATTATCACTGTTGATCCGGTAGACTGGATTGAAGATATCTTAATTGTTCGCACTGTATGTTTAATGAATCAGCAAGAGATGCAACAATACCAGAAAATGATCATTAAGAAGGAGAAAATAAAACGATTCATTTTGAATCAATCAATCAACCAATCAATCGATAAATGCATCTTATATAGTAGATCAATTAGAGAATGTTTGCTTCATTAGACATATTTTTGTATAAATGATTCCAATGATTTTTCTTTTGTTTGATTTACCTATCTGACCGATTTCAGTCACGAAATTGGAAGTTGCAAAATTGTTCGTCCGTAATTCAAATAGTGTTAGTGGTAGTAGTAGTTGCAATTGTTGAAAGTAAGTAACAACCTGTTCTATCAATATTACCTTTTTTCTTTCTCTTCCCGTACCCCCCGCTCCCCCGTTACGAATCCTTTTTTACCTCTATTATAAGTAGATTCTTTTCAAACGAACGAAAAAAATGATGCGAAAGAAATGATAGAATTAAATTCCAAATTTGATGAAAGAATAAACTATTTGAGGCAAATGAAAAATATTCATAATAATTTAGCAATAATAACTGAGCGAAGGAACGACAGTAATAATAATAATAATTAATAATAATAGTAATTAATAATAATAATAATAAATAGTAATTGCTAATTATATTATTTATTGCAATAGTACAAAAACAATTTTTTTATTTGATTAGTATAAGTTGAGGTATTAATTTTCATATAATCAAATAAATGCTGAAACGAAAAAAAGGTCATTCAATGAATTTACATTATTTAAGTAAGAATTGAAACGATAGTAAAGATATAATTTCCAACCATTTAAACTCTTCAAAATGATAATTTCAAATTTCGGAGTTTTTCCCAAACATTGTTTTTCCAGGTACTGCTTTTTTCTGTTCTTCTTCCTCTCCCTTTTTCTCTTTCATCTCCTTAGACACTTATTTTATCCGTTGTTTCTATCATTTACTTAATTTTAATTAAAATTAGCTCTTTCGAACTTCATCATATTTGCATTTTTTCTTTTACGATACAAATAAGAATGCAAAAGAAATTTGATAAGAAACAAACCTTAACAGAAGTATCGACAATAGTTGCTGAATCAATTGATTCCAATGTTTTTGATTGTTGTATATTTTTAGTAATACTACTAATTTCTGCACTGCAAAATGTACTTCGTAAGGTTGGGAGTAGTACTGATAATAATATTATTATCATAAGATGAAGTTGTATTGAACAATTATATTGTAACATTGCTGGCCGTTGTCAATATTCCATTACAGTATGATAATTGCAATACTATTAATAATATATGTAGGACTGGATCTCATTTACAGTTCTCCAGTAAATATTTTAGGCTTATTTAGGCTTTTAGTAATAATGTGTGTCTTTTGTAAGCCAACAATTACTGCTATTTGATTGTTGTTGTTGGTGCTTATTGCTTAGTTGTATTTTAAATTGGAAATACAAATTATTGATAATATTCATATTAATCCATACTATTCGTTCGCATTTTTTTTCTTGCTTTCTTCCTTTTTTTATTACTTCTTTTATTTTCCAGCACTTTCTATCATTTATTAGCAATAGTAAAAATAATATTAATAATAATAATAACAAATAAATTAACAGATGAATGAAAATGAAACAAAAACGGGAATAGGCTTAATAAACACAAATATCAGTTTTAAATTACTCCAAGCTGGCCGTTTTTGATATAATAGCAGTAATAATAATAATGATAGTAGCGGTAATAGTAATAGTAATAATAATAATAATAATAGTAGTAATAGTAGTAGTAGTAATTGATTTGTTGTTGTTTTGATTTCAACTAGTACCACAAATAAAAAAAGAGGATTTCTGCAAGAACAATTTGATATAAATAAACCTTAAAATTTAAGTCTTAAAAAAGAAAAGAAAAAGAAAAAAGGATGAAATATCAAATGATTGCAACGATAATTATTCAACAGGAAAAGAGAATAAAAGTTTGTAACACAGGAAGCAAAAGTCATTCCCAGTTTCTCGATTAAATTGTCTTAAAATTTAAATTTGTAAGACCTGGAAAATCTTACTTCAATCATTTCGCATATAATTATTAGAATTATTTGATGGTTTAATGCGAAGTTATAACCTGAAGTACTCATCATCAGACTGTTTCCTTATCCGGAACAATTACAACTTATCGATGGCAATTTTTCTTAAATCGCAGTTGCAACCGTTTTGGGAAAAATGATTCATATCGCGCAGTTTAAATTCAAATTAAGAGAAGAGGATGAAATGATTGGGAATGAGAAGGGGAAATAGTGAATTCCGGGGAGTGAATCGATACATTATACATGATGATAATGATCCTAATAATGATAATTATGATTACTAGTATTATTATCGCGAAATGTATCATTCCTAATGCTCAATCAGTTGTTTTTGAATAATAATTTCAGGATTTTTTTCATCTTCCACCTATTACTTAATTGTGAGGAGAGATAATGATATGATATGATATGATGACAACAAGAGATAAAGGATGATATGACATGATGATGCGACATATGATATGATATGATATTATGAATGAATATGAAAGGATGGAGAGATTGTAGTAAAACGCAGAAAATGAAGGCATGAGCTAGCTTTCCTGCAACAAGCCGCCGCTTTTCGTTAATGGATTACGAACGCGGACATACACATACATACACACACCCAAACACACATACACATAAACATACACCTAAATACACGTACATACACGCCCACATACATACAGACATACATCTAAATAACCATACACACACGCCCACATACAACACATATATATAATCACATGCATTATTCTTACCTATCCACATACATGACATACACACCCACATACAACAGTTCAGGACTTGCTTTAAAGCTCTTTTTGTGGGTTCCTCCACTTTTTGCATTCTTTCACTCTCGACGAGATGTCCTTCCCTTTGTCTCGAGAAACATTCTCATAGTCATTACATTCGCCCCCACATACTCTTACATACACTCACATACATGCACACATGCATACACATACACACATACAAATCATAAAAATGCAAACATTGAAAAATTTCCTAATTTTATTCCAGTGACTTCGTACCATTCTTCTCTATTTCAGGGTGATATAAGCAAGGCAGAAGTACCAGGCCAGGCTACTATATGAGCATTTCCGTTACTGCCATTAGCCAGAAATCGAATTGGCCCATTTGGTTATGAGGCCTTAGGGTAGTTTCCTAATTAAAGAGAAAAATTTGACGATTTGATTTAATCATGCATTAACATTTTAACATTTCGCTTTTGATAAGATACATTTGGATTGCAAATGATTTCATATCATTCATTATCAGGAAACATGTTCATCAATAATCAGATGATAATAGTTAGAATGATAGCAACACATAAACGGTTCCTAAATTATGCCCTAGCTTACAAAATAACAAATTATAGTATCTAAACAACTGTTTGCAGTTTTTAGACAATAGTTCATGAAAAATTTTTATAGAAAACACGTGTCCATAGGTAAATGAAGTATGTATGAGGAATATGTCATCCTCTACTTATTAATGCTACTATCTTTTGTACAACCTATCCAGAATATCAGTGATTAAATTGTAAACTCTATCAAACAGTATCTCTCAGTAGTTTATTACTGAATGTACGTTGAGTTATTGTGTAGGTAATTAATAAATTATTGAATAGATAAGCTGATAACATCATGAATGAAATAAAAAAAAGTATATTTGAACTTATCTTTAGTAGAAAATTGTGTAAATATTAACACTGGTCCATCACTGACTTCAAACTACGTCTTTCTTTCTTTTTTTTTTCTCTCTCAAAAAATTGAATTTTTAAAAACGATGTCCTTTAAATGACCTTTATTATTGAAAAAAGACGAAGACGATAAAGATGAAAAAAAAAAAATGCAAAATCGCTACTACTTATGTTTAATACACGGACAGCGAAGTAAGCGCCGTAGTTTTTTCTTTTTTTTCTGAAATTTCATCAAAGCTTATTTAAATGATTACATTGAGCACATTTTTTATTCCAACTCATTTTTGTAAATGTTGAATTTTACTATATGGCGCTTTTTGTTCCTCCTTTCATTTCTAAAAATCTATAATTAAAACACTATAAATAGACATAGATCGATCAAATGGGTCAAAATTGATGGATCATTTCAGATGGAACAGGGTAGTAATTATTTGATAGTTAAAACAAAGCCTAATTTGTATTTCAAAAATAAGCAAGTAAACAAACAAACCAGAGTATAACGAAAAATATCGAATTAATGATAAATTAAATGGACCCATTATTATTAAATTATGTAAGTCCATTAATTTTTTTAAATTCTATTCTTAACCTTCAAAGTAGTAAGAAATTCGGCAAAAATATGAAAGTGTAAGGAAAAAGGATGGGAAGAATTACACTTAGTTCAAAAAAAGGAGCAAATTTTCGAAAAAAAAACTTCTAAATTCAAAAAATTCTAATTTCTTCAAATTATTTACGGGTGAAACAAATAATCTGAAGCAAAACAGGTGAATTATTGCCGAAAGATGAACTTATCACAATACACTATAGGTCAAAAAATTACAGGTAAGTAGTAATTAGTAAATAGTAATTGATCTTGATTGCTTTGTTCTTGTTGATACATTTTGATAATATTTATGCAAAAATTATGATAATTATCTTTCCCAATTATAATACCAAAAATTTTGTTTTAAATTATGTCATTCATCGTCAGAGGACGAATAATTAAACGAATAATTAAAGATTCTTTGTCCCATTTTTTAGTTTTTGCAATTTTTTTTGGCAAATACGACCTGCGAAATTTTAAATTTACATTTATCAAAATGCTGCAAATAAAAGACTTTGTTGAAAGATTAAATCTGATTGAATCATCATTTAAACTGAAAGTGAATTAAATTTAAATTTTAATTTCAAAGAAATCAAGCAAAGAGACAATTAAAATTGATTGGAATGGGAAAATGTTATTGGAATTTATTAAATAAAAATTCATTAAATCAAAATTGGAAAAAAACAATAGAATAATGAAAAGTACCTCAGGGAAGGGAAAATTAAAAAGAAAGGTTCAACGGAAACTTTTCCATCCATTCTCGTTTTTCTTCCCTTATTTGTACTATCATTTAAAATTTTTAAATATAAATTTATTTGGGGAAAAAAATGAAATCATTTAGTTAGTCATCTATAGAGAAGCAGAAAAAAAGAATGCAAAGGAAAAAGAAAATGACTGCAAATCAAGAAATATAAATTTGAAATGATAATTGATTAAAGTGATGCTTTGAATTGGCAATCAAAAAATAAATCTGACTCGGAAGGGGAAAAGAGAGAATGAAATTATCAACTGATAAGGAAAACAGTTTACAAATGATTTCATCAACAATTAACAGAGAAGAATTATTCATTTAAATTGATCCTTATTAAATGATTGCTTGTTTAAGATGAAAGAGCACATGAATAACAGGGAAAAGAACTTTTGTAAAGATACGTTGATTATAAATGATATCTTATCCTATCAGTCAATCAATTTTATAAACTTCTTTTTTAAATTCATTTATTTGAAATGTAAAAATAAAAACTGAATTTTTTCGAAAATTTACTTTATTAATCAACAATATATAATAATTCGTAAGATAGAATTCATTTACATTCGGACATATGCGCTCTATTCAACCTATCATTTTTATGAAAAAATTATTCGGATTATTTTGAAATGAAATTTTAATAGCGGTTTAATTTCGCTTACTTTCAAATGTGATGGATAGTTTCGTGAAAACAAAATTTTAAAGTGATTAAGGTAATAACAACAAACGTATAATCAAAGTCATTTAATCTTATCAATATTTCATCTTTAATATTTCTTTATGATGATTTTTCTATTTCATTATCAATTCGACCAGTTATATCATTTTACCTGTTGTCATTATTTAAGCTGATATTTGAAATTGCATATATAATTTTATTTTTAATGATAATGATTATTCATGTGCCCTGGTAAGCATGAAAATGTCACATACAGAATTCAAATAAATTTTTTAAAAGTTTTTTCTAAATTTACAAGTTTTTCAAATGATTTTTTCCCTCTCCCCTAAAATTAACTTCGGTAATTTGTTAAGAAATTTGACATTTTCGTCAATGAATGACAAAACAAAATTTTTGTTCAATAATTTGGTCAGAAATAAACAAACAAATAAACAATAAAATAAAATGAGTAAAGTCAATTAGGGTGATAGGGGGAAAAAAGTCACCAAAATAAATCTTTTAACATAAAACTAATTGGTAATTAATTCACTTAATTAAAGCATTTACGTTTAATTTGCCTGGAAACAAAAAAAAATCCATAAAAAATGGAAATATTATTTAGAACTGATTTTACATCAAATAAAATAAAATTTTATTTAAACAGACAAAAATTATTAGCAAATAATCATCGATTTGATAATATTGACGTTTATAGATAACGAAAAAAGTTTAGGAATTTCAAACATTCTTGTTGAACAATGAAAAAAGGAAAAAGAGCTAAAATCATAAGAAAATAAAGAACGAAAAATGGACGAAAGAGAGAGAGAGAGAGGAGGAGAGAGAGGAAGGAAA